GTTTCACCCATTACTCAGGTTGAGCAGGGGTCACGGAAACGCTGATACGGAGAGATCAAGAGAACAAGGGTGAAATATAGCTGCAAGCAGCAATGGCGGGCCCAAGCCGTCAGTGCAAACGCCACCCCGGAGGCATCAGGAGAACGGTGCACAGTGGGCACATGCATTTACAGTAACCGTCTGGCAGTCTGGTTTTAAGGGATACGGCAATTAAAGGGTTAAGGGATCAATAGGGCCCTGCGCCTTTCTGGCTTGGGCCCTAATAATGAGCACACACAATCCAGATCCAGATCAGAGAGGTGTGAACAGCCACCTGACTGATTCAGATTCAGCTCCACTTCACTTTTCAGTTACAGTCAGTCCAGTAGATTGGTCAGGCTGATTTTGCATTAAAATAAGATGTATTGTTCTGAAAATAAGCAGTCAATGACATGACTTTTTTTGTCCTGATCAAGTAATGTATAGATGTAAATTAATTACATTACTAATGATCAAATAAATTTTTTTTGGTATATAGCAAACAAGTACACACTTGCACATGCTTTTGTTGCACTCTTCCTTCTGAGTTTCTGCATTTCCCATCTTATGTCCACATCTTCCTCTTCTCAGGCATGTGACCCCACTGTCACGCTCTTAATTGAGAGTCATTATACAATTACCTACATGTAAGCTGATGACAGCTTGAGTTTTCACTTTATATGCCTCTATTCGATTATAACTACTTAACTTGTTTATAGATATCATGTTTTACATGCGACAGTCTGTCAGGCAGCACTGCATTAAGTTACAGGAATCATGCAGAGCTCATTTTAGCCATGTAACTTCAGTGATGCCCTGAACTGCCTCTTACCCATACATACTCAAATTGAAAATGTATGCAATTGGCACTACATGTTTACCTGAAGTTGCATATACTAATTGACTCACTATACAATATTAGACATTCTTTTGTTTATATATGCCAAGTAATATAAATAATATAAAAGTAATGAAATAAATAATATATGTACATATTTTAAATCAGCATAAATTATAGGCAGTACAATACTTTGTCATTATTATTATTATTATTCATTATTATTATTATTTATTTAGCACTAGTAAGTGCTAAGTATCTCTGAGTAAAGTGTTAGACTTCTAATATATCATAAGAATTTGATGATCTAGAATTCTTTTTTTTTTTTAGAGTAAAGCAAATATTTAATATCTTAAATGTTTATTTCTGAGAATAAATGCACATTTATGACATAATTTAAAACACAGGACTGTAGGATATCATGGAAAACGAAGGATATCCATCCTGCCTGGTTTGAATATGCCTTCTTACCTCCATATATTTGGATGTGCCTTCTTACCTCCATATACTGCCTGCTGCTTCTGGTTTGATAGCAAAATATCAAACTGTCATTAGCTAGTAAGGTCACGACTGGAAAATGTCGTCATGGAGAGCATTACGTTGCAGTCTGTATGACCTGTGGTGGTGTGGAAAGTGCTGATCTAGGATCAGTTTTTGCCACTTAATGTATATCCTGAAGTATGACAGGCATAGCTGTTCCTGGATCAGAACTGATCAGCATCGGCTGGAGGAATTTTCAGCTGTGTGTTTGTGTGTGTGTGTATGTGTGTGTGTGTGTGTGTGTGTGTGTGTGGTAGGGTAACTTGAGCTGCTCCTCGGGAGCTCAGGCACGAGTCGACCGTGATATAATCCCTTTGACTAGTGACCAGACTACTGCCACCTCTCATTCCTGTGTGACTGTTTGCTTTTCCATTATGATGAGCTTGTGTCCTTGGTTTTCATGAGAGCTTAAGCAGTAAATTTGCTCTGATTTCTCTTATTATTCAGAACAGGCCATCTTAGTTCAAGCGAATAGTTCACCCTAAAATAACATTTGTCATCATTTACTTGCCCTCATGTCATTCTGAATTTACATGCTGTTATTTTTTCTATGTAATAGAAGCGTGAAATATCTTCTTTTGTGTTTAATGAAAAAAAAAAATGCCAGCATATAAGTTTAGAACAACATGAGGGTGAGTAAATAAGCACTAGATAAAGTGTAAACTGTTCCTTTAACAGTAAATATACCATGATTCATCCAAGATTAAACTGTTTGTTTTCAGTGTTAGCTAACTAGTGTTGGTGGATGTTGGGTCATCCCAGACCCATCAGGTGCCTAGAAGAACACAGAACAGGCTCATTCATTGTGTGTGTTGTACTGTCTGTGTGAGTGTGTGTGTGTGTTTTAGTGCAGTGGATTAGGTGGGATTATGGGGCTCAGGGTTCACTGAGCCTTTGACCAGCTGCTCAGTGCCGTCTGCTTAAAGCCAACTTTCTAACACAGAGAAAACATAGAGAGTGAGAGGAAATCAGAAGACTTCTTTGTGGTTTAAGCCTGTTTATAGTGGAATTTTCTCTCTGAATGTGACACTGAAGGTGTCACATTACTAGAATTATTATTGACTAATTTTAATTGCTCATTTTAATAACCCCATTTAAAATAGAATAAAAATGCATTATATTTAGAAGAAATACATTGTTTTGTATTTAAAAAAATGCTAAAATATTGCCTTTTTAGGATTTATTTACATTGTAATTTTTTCTTGAAAATTAAGCAAACTTTCTGAATCAACATGACCATAGCTGCTATAATCTGGAATTTTTTTCCTTTTTTTATTTGTAATTCCCATTATTCTCAGTGTGAGTAGTGGGAATCGTGTTCAAATTGGATTTTTTTAATACTGTATATATGATATGTATGTGAGTATTTTATTTTATAAGTATTTTTATAAATACTTTATGAATACTATTAAATATTATTATATTAATAATAAAATAATGATGTAAAAATGTGCTTAATTGTCATGAAAATAATGTCACTATTAAAAAATCTAATTATTCTCTAAACTATGCTTCCTTTTCTGTTGAAAGCATAATATATTGTTTTCTTTGATTTTTTTGTTTTTTGTGTGTGTGTGTGAAAGTGTTTTGTGCGTTTTATCCTTGAATTTGTTTTCTGTTGAATGCATGTTATCATTTTAGGGTAGCTGAAAGACATTTTGAGTAATTTGTGTAGGGTGGATGGTGTCTGAGCTCTCTGCAAGGTCAAAATCACACACATACACAGACACACAGAGGCATAGAGATGCACGAGTCACAAAGAGAAACTTCAGATTGATTTCCTGTGGGTATTTTAGGATTTTCCATGATGAACAAGGTGATGCAGAGATTTTGACTTTGCTGTGGTCCATGACGTAAGTCTTGGATTTAATTTGTATATCTTAATTGATGTTGTCAACAGTTGACCAAGACCTCATATGTGTTTAAATTCCTGCCAAAACCTAAACACTTAATGCCAAATACAAGAACATTCAACATGTTCTCAATGTCCTTTATATGAAAGATATCCGCATGCATGTCCTGTTGCATGCAGTGCTAGATACAGACATTCTTTGAAGGGGTAATAGCTCATATTTCTCATTTTACGTAAGCGCTTAAGAGGCTCGGCCCGGATTTAATCCAGCCCTGACGGAGAGGGAAAGGCGGAGCCATACAGCAGCCAATGCCGTCACGGTCGTTGACACTCGCTGCGGTTGCAGAAAGGTTACTTGTAATGCTGGAATGTAAAGACACATGGTGTTAGGTGACTCCCTTTACCCTGATCTAAGATCAGCTTTCCTTGCATAATCCAAACCTATTAAAGCTGGCGTGAAGTCACCAGCAGTAGCAAGAGCAGATGCTTCAGAATACCACATGTTGAGTGAAGTATTAGTAACGAAAAATGAAGAGGGAAATTAAGATATGTGCAAACCTGCTAGGATGAATATTTCACGCTGTTGGTTTTATTGCCACATAGTTTTCTGCTTTTTGCTTTTACTTAATGTAGTACGGGAAATGAATGCAAAAGGCAGTAGCAGTGGGCATCATCACTATTATAGTATTTCTCATATTAACCCCTATTGTAGGTATTAAAGGGATAGTTCACAGAAAAATAAAAACTGTCATCATTTACTCAGCCTAATGTCATTCCAAACCTGTAATACAGTCTAGTGTTGTTTCAATTCAGAGAAAAAAGGTCATACAGGTTTGAAACGGTGTTATTTTAGTGTTACATAAATATATATAATAATTTTTATTAGTGGAAATAGCTTTTATTCTTATATTTTCAGGTTTCACATTTTGTTATGGGCTTTTGTCATTTTTATTTCATTTTTAAATATTACAAATTAGGTTCAATTATTTTTAAGTTTTAGTTTTTATTTATTTCCATTTAGTAATTTTTAGTGCTTCAACTTATTTTTAGTTGCCAGAGCGACATTTGTAATGTATGTTGAGTAGGGCTGGGGTGAATCGATACCCAGCCCTAATGTTGAGTTTTAAGTTTTTAATCTAATATTTATAATATATTTTGTTTCAGCTTTATTACAACAAAATTTTTTTTATTAGTTTTAGTTTAATTAAAGATAACAACCTTGGTTTAGAACAACAAGAGGGTGAGTAAATGATGACTGAACTTTCATTTTTGGGTCAACTGTTCCTTTAAAAGTGTAACATTAAATGTAGATGAATAATATAGTATATCATGCAGTTTTATAATTTTTGCCTGGTGGGTGATAAAATGGGTCAAGTCATATCTAGAGACTAGACTACCACCTAGCAACCACCTTAGCACCTTAGCAGCTCTCTCTGTCTTTCTCTCTCGTTCTTTGTTATGAAACTATGTTCCTCTGCCTCAAATCAAGCATGACAGGAACCATAAGTTCTGCATCTGCTCTCTTTCTCATCAGAGCAAACTCTATAGTTGTAGCTCAAAGCTGGTTCCTCATTTGTGCACCTGTTTTCTCCAGTGAGTGGATCTGACCTGTGAACTCGAGGCAGGCCTGCCGACCGTGTCAGTACTGATTAACGAGTGTGTTCTCAAACAGGAAGCAGTCACATTGGATGGATGATGCATGAATATCTATGAATAAATGAATAATACACTCTCTCTGTCTCTTTGTTTCAGTGTACAGGAGAGGAGAGCTGGGTGGACAGCAGGACCATTTATATTGGACATAAAGAGCCTCCACCAGGAACAGAAGCGTACATTCCACAGAGATTTCCTGACAACAGAATCGTCTCCTCAAAGGTCAGATGTGCTCAATGGCCAAACAGTTATCTGAACCAAAAACAATACATAAGGGATGATGTACAGTGAGCCGATCATTATCGCAAAATAAACTCATAAAACATGATCAGGACATATGGTTAGGTGGTTTTATATCACCATGGCTGGCCCTTTTTGTATTCCAATTTATATATATATATAAAGTTTAATATGTTAAATATTTTAGATAATAGCTGTATTTGCATTAGAAAATGTATATTAAATTACATTTATTTTTCTTAAAACATTGACCCATTTTTGCTTGTTTTAAAGATAAAGTTTTGTTTTGTTAAACTTATCTCTTTTTCTCCACAGTATACTTTCTGGAATTTTATACCGAAGAATCTCTTTGAGCAGTTCAGAAGAATCGCCAATTTCTATTTTCTGATCATCTTTCTAGTGCAGGTTTGTGATGGTGTCTCTTATGGAAATTGTCCTATTAGCATGAGCTGACCTTTCTGTGACAGCATGATGTGTGATATTTCCCTCTCACCATCTTTCTCTGTAGCTGATCATTGACACACCTACCAGTCCTATGACCAGCGGTCTGCCTCTTTTCTTTGTCATCACTGTCACAGCCATTAAACAGGTGAGAAAAGACCCCTAACTTTCCTCTCTAATAGGTGTCATTATTAAGTCACTCCTTCACTGGTCTCTCTGCTTGTACCTCTAAATCTCTGCAGGGCTATGAGGACTGGATCAGGCACAAAGCGGACAACGCTGTAAACCAGTGTCCAGTCCACGTCACCCAGCATGGCAAAGTCGTACGCAAACAGAGTCAAAAGCTACGGGTGCGTGAGCACATAGAATGAGTATAAAATCTGGGGCTCACACCATATAGATTAGTGAATTGTGCCATTAGCACCACCACATGGATTTGAAAAACACGACTGTTTTCAAACAGGTTTCCCTGAACAGTTCTCTTTGTTTTCCATTGGTGAAACAAACTTATACCATTGGTTGGGCTGCTCATGACACTTAAATGAATAGCAGTGTTTTGAAAGTCCCACAGTGTTTGTATTTTTGTGAAATCAACTTATAAATGGCTTAATATCTATGCAAATTAACCTGGCATATGAAAATATTTTAATGCTAAAAAATACAAACTTCAGCTCTGAAAATTTGTTTTTTTTTTGTTATTATTCTCAGAGAAATAAATCAAAGTTTCGCTCTACTAACCAGCTTTCTGCTTACACAGCCAGCTTGCTGTTTGGAAACAGAATGTTGGCATGTCAACAAGCAGAATGACAGTGTACCCACGTAACCCACAATGCACTGGGAATCTTTTGTTATTTAATTGTGAAACTATTGCTCTCTCACTCTCTTTCAATATAGAATATAAAATTGTATATAAAACTTGAAAAGCACAGTGAAAAACACTGGAAGCTGTGATGATAAAGAGAGAATGTGCTTGAATACTTACCATTACAGCTTTTCATACTGATAATCCGGTCAGCATGTGTAATCCGTTACACAGCACATGCAGACAGGCCAGTGGGAACAACTACCAGGATCAGGATTTTCATTTTTTTAGATTCATGAATATGATTTTTTTACATACTGAAATCATTATAATCATTATTAATCTGTATTTAGGTCAGTTCAGAAGTATATTTAGATATTCATAACACAAGATGACCAAGAAAAGATGAACACTTGATGACCCGTTCTTAAAGCAACACTATGTAACTTTTGGCGCTCTAGCGGTTAATAAACAGAACTGTACGCATCCCGCGGAAGAACATTCTAACTGGAGCTACTTCTCCAAGTTTATGTCTATGGCGATTCACGCAGGTATGTGTTACTCCGCAGCGGTGACGACCCGAATAGGCTACAATAGTCCGAATATAAGCACTTATTATAAGTGTACCGTAGTGATTCGGGATAAGACAAAAAGGCGGTTTGGAAGATTAATTCATTATGTACTCGCTCATTATATACATTTTGCAAATTTTGAACACAGAAAAGTTGCATAGTGCTGCTTTAAAGTCACAGTGTGTATTTTCTGCACCACTAGTGGTAACAAATGGAATTGCAGTTTGTTTCAGTGTCCTGAGGTAGCAACATTTGCTCAACCAGTGGTGTGAGTTTGGTGCAGGATTGCTGGTTTTGTCCAAACAATGGCTGTTGGAGACTGTTTGGAATCAGTCATAAGTTTTGCAGTTGGTATGATGTTGCTAGTGACACACAAATTATACTCTTCACCTATAAGTATAAACCAAGAGAGATTTTAACAAACTTTTTCCTACTTATAAAACTACAACACAATATAAAATATTCTCACTTTTGGTTTCTTCAGGTTGTTATTTGATTCAAACTGTTACTGTAAATGTTGAATTTGACCCTTTCTTGTCTTTCAACCTTTCAGGTGGGTGATATTGTCCAGGTGAAGGAGGATGAGACGTTTCCATGTGACCTCATACTGCTCTCCACCAGTAGAGAAGATGGAACATGTTTTGTCACAACAGCCAGCTTAGATGGAGAGTCCAGCCATAAGGTGATTGGTCATTTTATAGCAAGGCAAATATTACTGTTATTATTCCTAAAACCTAACATTAGGGGTTTATTCTAAACTGTTACATTGTGACTGAAATGTCTTGGCCGGACTATATAGCACACTGACAGCAATTCTTATTAGATGGGAGAGGGAAGAGAAGTTTTTGACCTTGGAATGCCTACTAGGTTTCTCTTGTGCTCTCCTCTCTATATAAAGACCTATTATGCAGTTCAGGACACAAAGGCATTCAACACAGCAGAGGAGGTGGACACACTGCACGCTACGATAGAATGCGAACAACCCCAGCCAGACCTCTACAAGTGAGTGATACACACATATATCAGCAGTAAACACATAAACAAATGCTCTATCTTACAAACACTCACTATGTATAGAACTACTGTTGGACTGGCACAACAACATGTCACACACTCCAGATACCCCACTTAACTACACACACACACATTGATATAGAGCCCAGACTAGACATTAATTTCTTTCTTTTTCTCCTCTTCTGCTGTAGATTTGTGGGACGCATCAATATTTATTTGGATCGAGACGAGCCCATCGCGAGGTAAATCTATACTCAGGAAATTGACTCTTAATTAAGGGGCTAGTGTGTGAAAGATTGAATTCAGGAGGGACACTTTATCATTTTCATAGAACAAGTCTTGATGATTGGGTGAGTGGTCAGTGATGAGTGGGTCATGATGATTATGATGTTTTTTGATGTAAAAATCTTGAAAGTGGACCATAGAGAACGGTACAAAATAAAAAACAATTCATTAGGGCCTTTTGCACCGCGGGAACCTTTTCATAGTACCAGAATTTAAAATAGTCCTGCAAGTGTGACAGATGAATTTGCAGTACAATACATACACACATAGTGTAAAAAGATGTGAGCATAACTTTTTTGTAATCCTGCATTTGATCTGTTTGATTATTTTAGACCCCTGGGTTCTGAGAACCTGCTGCTGCGTGGAGCCACACTGAAAAACACTGAATACATACATGGTAATAAATAACAACACTTCGTATTTACATTTAATTTATGTGCATACACATTATTTATCTTTGCAGTCCATTTTTGTGCTCAGTCCAATCTTACTGATGTCAATGATGCTAAGATCCATCACTATAACCTGGTACAATGCTTATGTGATTTTTTTAGGCAATAGGAAGGGCAGGAGAACGAGAGGAAAGTTGCTGATTGAGTCGTTCTGTCACTCTGTTCCCACTGTAATTAAATGAGTCACTGAGGCTTGTGAGATTAGAAAGAAGTTCTTAATTGCTAGAGCGAGAGAGAAAGGGCGAGAGAGGGAGATGAATGTCACATTATACACGTGAGGATTCTAAGAGCAGGGCAAGCTCTAAAAATTTTTAACTTTGTTACAGCGGAGCTATTATGACATAATAGCACCGTACGGTAGAACAAAAAGAGCTCAGTTATGTAACAATGGCTTTTACATTATAAAATCATCAAAGAGGCTGTACAGAGATGGTCATAGAGGGGAATTACAATCTCACAATGCTCTTTTTCCTGTCTTGTTTCTCTAGCTGTGGCCATCTATACGGGCATGGAAACCAAGATGGCCCTCAACTACCAGTCCAAGTCTCAGAAACGCTCCGCTGTTGAAAAGTAAGACACGGTGATTGGCTTTTGATCAGTTTATCTTGCTGTCAGCATGTACAGGGTAATGCATTTAGTGTGCTTGTTTGTAAAGCAAATTGCGGGCTTCTGTATTTGATGTCACAAATTGTATCAAGTTGCACTCACATGTGTCTCGCTGACAATTCTGTCAGACAGATAGATGCAGCCATTAAGAAAACCATATAAAATATGTTTATATTGAACAAGCAGGTGTACTTTCAGAGATCTGCTTTCAGAGTTCGGATAACATTGACTTTTTCAATCAAATAAATGTTGATTTTTTTTTTAGACCATAATTTAATATAGATGTCATTCGCACAAAAGATTTTTTTTTTTCTGAAAAAGGATATGAGTGATTCAACTCACAGACCCTCAGGGAAAGTTACTGCAGTTAGATCTTGTCACCCTGATGTATGATATGTGTCTTTGCCATTAGGTCCAAAAATTATTATGCTCAGTCTGGGATCATTTAATCACTTTTTGTCCTTTTGCAGGTCTATGAACGCCTATCTGATCGTGTACCTCTGCATTCTGATCAGTAAAGCTCTGATCAATACTGTCCTGAAGTATGTCTGGCAGGCCAACCCAAACAGAGATGAGCCCTGGTACAACCAGAAAACTGAGACTGAGAGGCAACGGCATGTAGTACGTGCTATAAAACAATGCTTATTATTATAATAGTTTTTTTTAAATTTAATTTTTAATAATTTTTTTTACGTTTAATTTTTAATAATTTATTATAATTTATTATTCCTTTTATATTTGTTATATATGTATTGTTTTATTTTATAAAAAATGAAGATAGTTGAAAAATGAAAAAGTAATTTAGCTTTTTTAGAGAATGACGAATTCTGTTGAGTGAAAACTTTTTTTATTAAATATTTATATATTTGTTTTTATTAAATATTTCATTATATTAATGTTTTTATTAAAATATATTTATTTGGTACTACATTTATATACTACTTATACATAAAAATATATGTTTCTTGAGCAGCAAATCAACATGTTAGATTTCTGAAGAATTATGTGACACTGAATGTGAATTCAGCTTTGCATCACAGGAATAATAACTTTATAGTAATAATATTAATAATGTTTTAAAATATATTAAAATGGAAATCAGTTATTTTAAATGGTAATAATATTTCAAAATATTACAGTTTTTAATGTACTTTTGATCAAATAAATGCAGCCTCAGTGAGCATAAGAGACGTCTTTCAAAAACATGAAAAATCTTAATTATTCCAAATTTTGACCTACATTGTGTATACTAACTATATTTTATGCTTTCATATCATATCATGAACACAATCAAATAAAAAACAATTGCACAAACTCACACTATTTAATTCTCTGCATTTTATCCCTTCAGTTAATCCGGGCATTCACAGATTTCCTTGCCTTCATGGTTCTGTTCAACTACATCATTCCTGTGTCCATGTATGTGACTGTGGAGATGCAGAAGTTCCTTGGCTCGTACTTCATCCTGTGGGACGATGACATGTTTGATGAGGAGCTCGGAGAGGGACCGCTCGTCAATACCTCAGATCTTAATGAAGAACTTGGACAGGTAGGAAACCTTTTCAGTCCACTCCAAAACTGCTCCCTGGGTCATTATTGGTTCACTGTCTCTCTTCTTTTTCCATCACAGGTGGAATATGTCTTCACAGACAAGACTGGCACTTTGACAGAAAACAACATGGAGTTGAGGGAGTGTTGTGTGGATGGGCATGTTTATGTGCCACATGCCATCTGTAACGGGCAGATCTTACCTGGAGCTGCTGGAATGGATATGATCGACTCCTCTCCGGGCGTAGATGAAAAGGTGAGCTTGTTGTTTGTGCATAACCGCTGTAAAATCGCAGTGAATATTTTATTCATCAAGCAAAAGTGACAGGAAATACTTTTATAATCTTACAAAAGGCTTCTATTTCAAATAAATACAATCCTTTTGATTTTGAGAAAAAAAATGTATCATAGTTTTCACAAAATTTTTTAGCAGCACAACATTGATAATAAAATGTTTCTTGAAGAGCAGATCAGCATATTTGAATGATTTCTGAAGGATCAAGTGACACTGAAGACTAGAGTAATGATGCTGAAAATTCAGCTTTGCCATCACATTAATAAATTACATTTTAAAATATATTCAAATAGAAAACACTTATTTTAAAATTTAAATATTTTAAATACTTTAAAAGGCTATATATATATATATATATATATATATATATATAAACCAAATATCACATCTAACAAAGTTGACCTTTCTATTTATTTTTTTTTATTCTTTTAAACATCTGGTAATTTTAGTGAATGTATGAAGTCTGTTCACCTCAAGTTCCCTCATCTTTATTCAAAATAATTGATAAATTCATGTTTTTCATCTAATACCATGACATTTCATCATTATTACGTGTGACTTAAGTCTCCAGATACATTTTGGGCCACTGTATACATTTGAGAAAAGAAGCTATAAAAACTTTTGGTCAATGAGAGAATGAACGTGTTATTATGAGCTGCGAGTTATGTTTCATTGCACAGATAAATCATATCATCACAAAGGCAAGTTTTTGCATGAATATTTTAGCTGTGGATGGGTGGAATGATGGATGGATTCTAATTTTATCTCTGATAAATGAGTTTAGAGCAACGTGACACATTAAATTAGCAGATTAGCTAAAACATCTATTAAAGAATTTGTTAACTTGTTAAATTTCCCATCAAATCTCGTCAGTTGTGTTTTTGAATGTGATTTTTATGAATAACAGTTCAAAAATTTGGATAAACTCAGTTTGTCCATTCAAAATGGTTTCTGTAAGAATGATATTGTGTGCATGTGCATAATAGAGTGAAATGTGACATATCAGAGTTCACTGTTGAGATTTTTAATGCCTGCTTGTATCAAATGTATCCAAATATTTACTGGATACATGAGTATTGACTGCATTTTTAGTTAGACACAGATAGCCCCTCTTTGTCCTTTTGTCTCTCTGTCTCTGTCACTTAATCTCTTTTTGTTAGTCTCTCTATCTTCCTTTCTTCTGGAGTGTGAGGAAACAGATGAATGATTCTATTCCACTGAGACAACTCGCTCTTAAGTAAAGGGAAATAGTGTGCGTGTGTGTGTGTGTGTGTGTGTGTGTGATGCTTGAATTGTCTCATGCCATTACATACTATTATTACATTTAATATTTTACTGTTTTAAAAAGTATTTTTGCTTTAAGAATGAAGCGTAAACATATTGGAGCAAATTCACAGCTGCATCAGTTTTGTGTGCAGAATTTCAGTGCAAACGTGTACATGTGTGTCATCAGGAGCGAGAGGAGCTGTTTTTCCGTGCACTGTGCCTCTGTCACACAGTCCAGGTGAAGGAAGAGGAGACAGTGGATGGCATTAAGAGAGGAATCTATCAGGGCAAATCCACCTCCTACATCTCCTCCTCTCCAGATGAGGTTGCACTGGTGGAGGGCATGAAAAGGCAAGACACATACTGTACATACATACACTCACACATGAAAACATGCACTCACACAGACCCACGATAATTTATACTCTAGCCTCCAGGTTTTGACATACTGTGTCATAGTTTGGGATGGCATAACACTCTCACTATATACATTGTTTATTTCATTTTTGTTCCAAAACAGTCCAAACTTTTTTATGACCATTTTCTAATTTGCTGTACATACTGTTATGTCTAACCCCAACCCTTCATCACAATAACAAACTAAGTTTGCTTTCCCTTTCTCTCACCTGTTCAGGTTGGGCTTCACCTATCTCCGTCTGAAGGACAGTCACATGGAGATCCTTAACAGACAGGATGAGATGGAGAGGTGAGCCATCTGGAAAACAGCATGAGCGCAATGACCAACAGGAAACTAGCAGCATTTTTGAACAGTTAGCTGGTCTATCAGTCTGAGAAAGTGGTTTTACCCACAATTTTACTTGCTACACTTTTAAAAAATGTTTATAGTATAGTAAAAAAAAAAAAAAATTAAAACTACATGTATTAATATGTTAAATATAGATTATTACCATAAATTATTTTATGATTATTTTTAATTGAAAAAAAATTATAAAAGTAAAATTACTATAAAATAGTTGTTTTTTAAAAATAATTGTTAATAGTATTTTTTTTAAATAATAATAAAATAAACAGAATAATGTAACAGTAAAAAATGAAAAATGAATAGAAGACATATATATATAACATTTATGCATTTAAAAAAAAAATTTTCATGTAGAATTTACAAACAAGCTTTTAGTTTCATACCAAACCACTAGCAGGGCTGCTTACACCCCCTGTGGTGACTGCAGCTTTAATTTTCTTGTCATACTGTGTATTTTGCCACATGCTGTGTGAGAAAGAAACCTCAGCAAAGGAACAGTTTGCTCAGCCTAATCTGTAATCATCTGTGTATTTACTCAGCAGGTTGTCATATTAATGTAATTGTGTGTTTTTTAAAGTAACACCATTATACGGTGTATGTTGTGGGAAGCAGTGAAGTTCCTCTGTTTAGGGAATGTTGTAAAAGGACCGGTGTTTGTGAGATGGAGTGAGTGACTGAGTGTGTGTGTGTGTGTCCTTGAAGGACAAGGACCAGCCATAATTAGTGCAGCTACACACTGTCCTACAGCCGAGAACATGAGGGTCAGCACAGAGTGCAGTCACATGAAAATTCTGTCTGTGATAAAGATGTATCCCAAAGGACCCAATCAGTAGTAGATAGTAGATCCATTAACCTTTTAAATCTAAAGACTTGCAATGTTGTCTTTTTGTGTGCATTTGTGTTTATTCTTCCCAGATTTGAGCTGTTGGAGGTGTTGAACTTTGATTCAGTGAGGAGGAGAATGAGTGTTATTGTAAGATCGAGCTCAGGTAGGATGAACAAACACACGTTTACTTAGCTATCTAAATGGAGACATTCAATAGACATCTATTGATTTTATATAGAGTTAGTTATAAATACCTAACCCTAACCCACACCTTGCCCTAAAAGAAAACTTTATGCATTTTTACAAAAAAAAACAACAACAACTTTATTTACTTTATTTTTATATATTTACTTTGCTTTTTACAAATATGGACATCCCCCAAAAGGAGATTTTTGTCAGATTTAGCTGACTTCTGGGTACAAATTTATCCCCAAAATTAAGTAGGCACACACACACACACACAAATATTTACTTGGCAATTTAAATGAGGACATATAAATCTAATTATAATTATTATGTATAATTATGTATAATTAATTCTTGCCCTAAAGAAAGCTTATTATATCAGTTTAACATGTTAAATTATGTGTGATTAAGTATTTAAAATGTGCTAAAAAATACAGCAGTTAATCATGCCTCTTGACTAGTATGTTAATTGCATTTTTTACAAATGAATTAATCAATTTATTTATTTATTTATTGAGAGTTATGTTTAATCAAATGGATATAAAACAAATATATTAACTTTTAAGGCAATTTTGTCATGTCTAATCAATGTATTATTTTGCCACAATATAATGTGTTTGAATGATCTCTGTAAATATTGATATGTGCAATTAATTGTAATTGATTTGATTAATCTGCATGTCATGTAATAATTGTAATACAATTTATGAGATTGGCAGCCATAATTCACTTTATTTATGAATGATTTTCCCATCTGAGAACATCCCCAAAGGGATTTAGCTAATGTCTGGGAATAATTTTGCCCTCAAAGCATTGCTGAGTAAACACACACATGCACACTCATTCTGGAACTGCAAGTGACTGTTACACATTCCACTGAAAGTGTCTGAGTCACCATGTGTGCCCAAATGAAGGGGCCAGTTAATGCAAGTGGGTCAATGTGCTACTAGCATACAAATGAGAGCAAGATTTAGACATCTGTATGATTCCTGAATACATTCAGTCACACACAACTGACCTGATGACTTATCTTTTAATATAAAAAGCAATTAGGATATTCTTGAATACATTGAGAGCCTGACAGTATAACTAATGTGCTAATTTAAAGTCAACATGAAACAACGTTTGTGACCCATTTTGCTATCGTATTATGATACACTTCAGAGGGGAACAGGATAAAAAATATAAAATCTCAAAGACAAATAGGTTAGTTTTGATTTCATGTTAACTTTAAGCATGAATTAAAAAAAAAATATTGCTTTACATATTATAAATGTATTGAAAGCATGACATACTGGTGACTGTACAGTTTCTTTATTATAGCTGTTAACACTTTATTTGTGTTGATAATTGTTTGTTTGTTCTAGGAGAGTACTATTTGTTCTGTAAAGGTGCAGATTCTTCTGTTTTCCCACGGGTGGTTTCTGGGAAGGTGGAGCAGGTCAGAGCGCGAGTAGAGCACAACGCTGTGGTGAGCAAAAATTGGAAACATCTTCATCTTCTTTCTTATTTTAGCAGAGCTATTTATAAGCCACAAAAGCACCTTCCTAGATCTTGATGGAAAAAAGCTCCTCTCAAATGTGTTTGCTTGTGCAGCTTTTCTTTAGCATGAATGTCATCCTCAAAGAGAGCTGAAAGAGGAAAGTACCTAAACATCACTGAAAATTAAAGAGAAAAATAGAAAGAGCAAAGACAATGTATCTGTTGTCTTTCTATTTATGTGTTCTCACACTGCGGCCCAACACTGATCTCATTAGCTTTCATAAGAGGGATGAGTGTTATGAACAACCGTTATTAGTTTAATGTCTCTGTAGCATCCAGAAGTCATTTGTACTTTTTGCTCTTCATAATCTAATGAATATAATTATCTTAAACTTGACAAATATATGAAGTCACTTGCAGAAAAATAATATAATTATGGTCCCAGACATGAGGAATGGATCTAATGTCATAGATTAAATAATTATGTTACTGTCACAGCTCTATGTTACTTCATTGTGTTACTCACAGATCTGGGTCAGGAATGACATCACTTTAGAAAAGGGTTTGGTTGCATTGGCGTCTGTGCTGATTCATGACTCTGGTAGCCATAGTGAAAAAGGTTTCTGTAGAGACAGACACAATTGTCTCTTTGTTTTCAAGACTGTCTGAAGGAGTCAAAACTGACAGTTCTATCAGTAGTGTTTTATAAATAATGTTAATGGGAATTTTTCTGCTGGAGCATTTTTGTCATTTTATAATCTACATTTCAAAGGGATAATGATAAACAACAAATGATAATTGTGTCATTATTTACTCACCGCCATGTCGTTCTAAACCAGTATGTCTTTCTTTTTTATATGGAACACAAAATGAGATATTGTGCAAAATGTTCACGCTGCTTTTTTGCATACAACAAAAGCAGACAGTGCCCAGTGGATATAAAATAAGACAAAGAAATCTTATGAAAAATTTGTTTGCATAAAAAGTAGGGATGTAACGATTCACTCAACTCACGATTCGATTCGATTCACGATTTTGATTTCACGATTCGATTCACGGTTATTATAATTTTTTTTTAACAAAATGAGATTTAAGACAAATTATACATTAAATGTGTTCTTTTATTATTGCAATAGAATCGCGATTTGTTTAGCATCTCAACCGATTTGAATCGTCACATATTTGAATCGATTTTCAGCCGGCTCGCAGTTAATCGTTACATCCCTAATAAAAAGAAACATTTGACATTCATATGGGCTATTTTTATGTTGCTTATATGGAAGCCTGTTTCTGCCACGGAATAAAAAGAAATTTGAAAACGTAATTACAACTTTTTATCTCACAATTCTGACTTTTTCCAGAATTGCGAGATGTTAACTCACAGTCATGAGATATAAACTAAGTCAACTACCTTTTTTTATTCCATGGTGGAGCTTGACATCCTGTGGTCACCACATGACTCATTCTATAGAAAAGTGCAGCGGGAGCATTCTTTAAAATATCTCCATTTGTTGTACCACAGAAGAAAGAAAGTCACAGGTTTGGAACAATATGAGGGTGAGTAAATAATGCCAACATTTTCACTTTTCTTAGCACAGGTATTATTCTTTCTTTTATGTTATGTTTATTCTGAGTTAAACATATATTTAGTTCTTTCCAAGATTAATGCTCTTTTTAGGATAAAGAATAAATTCTGGAGTTGAATTTTGGCTCTTTTATTAAATAAATGGACCTGGCAGGCTAAGCTGACATTTTTGTTTCAAATCTTTCTGCTGTAGGAGGGCTTACGGACTCTTTGTGTGGCTTATAAGAAGCTGACTCATGAGGAGTATGAGGAAACGTGCCGTCTCCTCAACAGCGCTAAACTAGCTCTGCGGGAGCGCGACAAGAAACTGGCTGAAGCTTATGATGTCATTGAAAAGGATTTCATCCTGCTGGGAGCCACGGCTGTGGAAGATAGGTGAATCACTGCCTCCTGACTCACAGTCAACCTGATTAACAGTTACCAAATACCACAAATACCATCTTAGTTTGACTGACTTCTTCTTCTGAAGTGAATCAAACTTACGATTTCAAAGTTGAGAACTTTGCTGGAGTTGATGGAGTGGATTTTCATGTTCAGTATTCCCTAGTCAAATCCAGAATGCAAATCAATGAATGTGGAAACAGGAACAATTTAATTGAAAAAATTCTTATTGTTTTCCAGCATGATTTGAGATTGTTTTTTTAACAAATGGTATGTGAATAATAATTTGAGAAGAAAATTTTAATTGAAAAAATTCTTAGTATTGTCCAGCATGATTTTAGTTTTTTTTTTTAAAACAAATTTCGTGTTAATAATTTGAAATTTTTTCATTTTAAACATTTTCTGTTTATTTTAAGGTTTAAATTAGTTTTTGAATCCCATATTTTCATTGTAGCTTAAGATTTTTGGACTCCACTGTACAGTATATTCCCAGCAATTTACAAGTTTGTAGCTAAACAGGAGTCACTGTAGAGAATCGGGGAAGCTCATTTTTTTCAGGCTGTTTGTTATGGTAGCATCACTTAAAGTCATTCATCTGTGAATATGCAGATTACCCTTCAGTACTAAGAATTAGGGCCTCATTCCCTCTCGCTCCTGCCAACTACGCCATCAAAAACTCCATAGTGTCGAAATATGGAACCATGACATCCGATGCATTTCTGAGCAAGTCCGATATTGCTTTCCAAGTTGCATGTTGCTGTAAAAATATCGACATGTTAATAATATCTTATGTTTTCCATAAAGTGCATTATGCATTTGCCTAAATAAGCAAGGTGCATTTCCCTGAAGTGAAATGGAGAATGGATGTGCATTACCAATATTAGATTGTTAACTGGCTGAACGCCAAGGTTCCGATCGGCCGAACAACTGGATGGAAGAGTTGCAGGTCCAGTGTCCGTTTGAAGCAGTCGTGAGCACCCACGGCCCTGACAGAACCAGTGTGAGTTAACGTTAATTGCATAGGCAATCAATAGAGTCCATCCTTTAGGCTCCAGTGTCCTGATAATGAGCAGTTAACATAATTAGACCCCCTCTTGAATCAATCGGCAACCGGCAGACACGGTTCTGATGAACTACTGTTTTGGCTTATACACTTATGGAGGCCATTCACCCCAATGTTATAAATAAACACATCAATCCATGTTGACCGCCTCAATGAAGATAACAGAGCAAACAAATAGTGATTACTGGACGGGAACTTATTTTGTCAGGCAGTGTTGATTAGATGCAATCAGTGCCCTCTAGGCACCAGCCTGTTTGTGCCCCCAAGACGTCACTCAAGATCATGTGTTATAGTCAAATATACAGGGAGCTAATTTGATAAGGGGCAACGCTGACTGTTTGTAATGTGTTTGTTTTTTATTTAAACAGAATCCCTGAAACATTCTAGCTTACATGAAATGGCCATGGCAACCCATTTTACCTCCGTAAATGTGCAGTCACATTGACAAAATTTTGTGGGCAAAAAGGTCCATTGTCTATTGCCAATAGTGTAGCAATGTATAATGCACAGCTCACACAGAAGTCACTTTCAAACCAAGCAGCTTTCTGATGGTCAACACAGCAAATTTGTGTTACCAACTTGAACTTGTTGCGAAATCCATCATCATTTCATTTGAAATCCAGAATTGACTGGATTTCACCCACAAAAATTCTGTAAATGTCACTGCAAGGACTGTATTTGAGAGCACAACAGGATATTCAACAAGAAAAGAAGGACAAGAGAAAAGTGGATGTTTCAAACCAGAATAGAGCCTTACTTGAATGTAGGGCTGCAGTGGATTGTAGAGAGGATATAATCAATGTTACATTAAAGTTAACTGCCATTAAATTACTTAAATTAGTGTTAACTATTGCCAAGATTTTAGAAAGGCTGAACAGCAGCCTAATATGATGCCTTGAATGGCTATTTGGCAATTGGGTTACATTATTTTCCCGGCCCACTTGGCCTAGGTGACATAATTTGCAAAGCAAAGTCATTTCAGAGCATGTTATTATGAAGACAGTGCTTTTTTTCAGATGAAGTACATTAATCATGCACAATAAGGCCAGGAAAGTGTATTTAAGGAAGCATATAACATAAAATCTGATTTCATTTCAACTTTAAGCCAAGATTTTAAAATAGGGAGCCAAATAGAATGTTGGGGAAGTCAGAAGGAATGTTATGACTCAACTAGAATGTTGCTTAACTTGGGGAATTTGTTTAGCTTCAATAGAATGATGTTAAGTGAAATGCAATTCATGTTATTAGAATGTTTAATAGGTAGTGTAGTAGAAGGTCTTGTGGTTTCTTCCCGGGAGTCTTTGTGAGAATGTCACTTCCTGCGTCGCTGGGCTGTGAGTGAGGTGCAGTGGGGGGTGGAGTCTTAATTATCTGGCAGCAGTGGCACTGTGAATCCTGACTACTGGGCTGCTTAATTACTGAGTGAAGTGGGCTGAGACATCACACTGCGGTAGAAGACCTCCCCGCCACCGAGCCATGCAGAGCACTGTCCATTAACTTTCACTCCAGCACTGCGCAAAGAATAAAGCACACAGGATTGCTATATACTATGCCAAATCTTGCTGCTGCAACTTTTTAACGGTAGTGTAAATAATTAAATTACACAGCAACATGATTAAAAACTCTGCAAACTGAAAATGTATTTAAAATTCCATTTAAAAGTATCCAAACACTCAGGACTTCCATAAACGTACATTAGAAAGGTAATATGGCGATTGTCAACATTTGTTAGGGTTGGATTGGTCATTACTTAAGGCAAATCATGCTAAGGTTCATTTGTAAATACGCACCCAATTTGGCTCAGTATACAGACATTGTGTTAATTGTGTACATGAGCTGCTCTTGAAATGTTCTTCGATATCATTTTATGTTTCAGGCTGCAGGATAAAGCGGCCGACACCATTGAGTCCCTGCACAAGGCTGGTATGAAGGTTTGGGTCCTCACAGGGGACAAAATGGAGACCGCAGCAGCCACGTGCTATGCTAGCAAGTTGTTCCATCGCAATACACAGATCCTGGAACTGACAACCAAGCGGACAGAGGAGCAGAGTCTCCATGACGTCTTGTTTGATCTGAGCAGAACTGTCCTGAGACAGCATGGCAGCATGACCAGGGACATTTTTTCAGGGTGGGTACAGTGGAATACATTTACATGCTCACATAGATGCTTACACGCGCAGACACCTTCACACATACGTGTCGGTCCCACAGGCTCTCAGATGATTACCAAGACTATGGTCTGATAATCGATGGGGCAACACTGTCAGCTGTACTGAAACCAACACAGGAAGGAACCAGCAACGGAGGGAACTACAAGGAGATTTTCCTGGAAATCTGCAGGAACTGCAGCGCTGTTCTCTGCTGTCGCATGGCACCCTTACAAAAAGCACAGGTACACCAGCATGTTAGTCTCAAAGAATATACACTACTGTTCAAAATATTGGGGTAAGATTTTTATTTTTATTTTTTTGAAATAAGTCTCTTATGCTCACCAAGGCTGTATTTAATTGATCAAAAATACAGTAAAACATATTATTGTGAAATAGTATTATATTTAAAAAAAAAACTGTTTTCTATTGTAATATATTTTAAAGTGTCATTTATTCCTGTGATGCAAAGCTGAATTTTCAATCGTCAGTGTCACGTGATCCTTCAGAAACCATTCTTATATTGTTATATGAAACATTTCTTTGAAACCACTGAAACCATGATACTTTTTTTCAGGATTCTTTAATGAATATAAAATTTCAAAGTAAAAAAATGTAAAAATTATTTGAAATAGATTTTTTTTTTTTGAATAATGTATAATTTTTCGGTAGAAGACCTCCCCGCCACCGAGCCATGCAGAGCACTGTCCATTAACTTTCACTCCAGCACTGCGCAAAGAATAAAGCACACAGGATTGCTATATACTATGCCAAATCTTGCTGCTGCTACTATACAATGGAGGCAATTGGGCAGTCAAAGCAACAATTGTGTAATTGTCACTTTGTATATGATGGGAGCTGCTATTTATGTCAAAGTATGACAGATTAACTTAATTTGTTTGTAAAAATAATTATTTAAAATTGACCCAATGTTAAACTCCACCGCCAAGCTTTTCAATTAAACGGTAAAGGAATTGTATTACAATTATCCTTATGTGAGCTTGAAAAATAGTGACATTGGAAAGAATTTTATCTGCTGTTTGTTTTTACACTAGTTCAAAAGTTTGAGGTCAGTAAGATTTTTTCATATGTTTTTGAAAGATATTTCTTATGCACACCAAGGCTGCATTTATTTGATCAAAAATACATTTATAACAGTAATATTTTGAAGTAATATTGATGCAAAGCTGAATTTTCAATCGTCAGTGTCACGTGATCCTTCAGAAACCATTCTTATATTGTTATATGAAACATTTCTTTGAAACCACTGAAACCATGATACTTTTTTTCAGGATTCTTTAATGAATATAAAATTTCAAAGTAAAAAAATGTAAAAATTATTTGAAATAGATTTTTTTTTTTTGAATAATGTATAATTTTTTTGTCACTTTTGATCAGTTTAATGCACCCTTGCTGAATAAAAGTATTTATTTCTGTCAAAATAAGAAAATCTCACTAACCCCGAACTTTTGAATGGTAGTGTAGGTACCAGATAATTTTCTAACATCATTTCTAACATCATATTCATTATTTCCAGTATCATTTAGGTAAAGGTTAAAAGTTAATATTATTAAGCTATTAACTTACGTTTTAGAATGCATATTGGCATATTTCTTTATGCAATCTGATATCTAAAATGATTCATTAAATCGTTATTTGGCATGTGTATTAAGCCATTTTCCTTGTGGGTTCCATTGACTAAGGGTGATTTAAGGTCCCCACAATGGAGATAAAACCTGACTCACACTAACACAGCCACCTGCCACAGAAAGGTTGTCCTCGTTCTCTTATTGTACTCTCTCAGCCTGTGAGTTACATGGTGCAATCAAAAGAGACTCTGGTCTCTTTCTCATTCTCATTTACTGCACACTAAACCTGTCAGTCACTCTCTGGGGCTTCTGGGAAAACCAGAGACTGTAAAGTCAAGAAGTGAGAGAACTCACAGCATTACAAGACAGTTATTGATGTGAAACGAACAGCAAAATCCCATGCAATTCATGTGTAAAAGCAAAATCAATATTTTCTTCATATGACAAAGGATAGATAGGATATTTTCCCATTGCCTCAGTCACATAAACAGCCAAAAACCCTGCTTAATAATCTAATCTCTCAGCCGTTCTGATTTGACCTGTGGAAACTGTTCTTTCAGATTGTTAAGCTGATAAAAGCATCAAAAGAACACCCCATCACGCTGGCCATCGGGGACGGAGCCAATGATGTCAGCATGATTCTGGAAGCTCACGTGGGCATAGGTGATTTCATGCTCGCAGACAAAAGCAAATCTTTTTCGAAGTTATTACTTCTCCAGGAAGTAATTCTCTTATAGACTTCTGTTCAACAACTATGTCGGCAATATCTTACATGCCTGTTGACTGGTTATTCTGCCTCTAGGGATCATGGGTAAAGAGGGGCGTCAGGCGGCCCGTAACAGCGACTATGCAATTACCAAGTTCAAACACCTGAAGAAGATGCTGCTGGTTCACGGGCACTACTACTACATCAGAATTGCTGAGCTGGTCCAGTACTTCTTCTATAAGGTGAACTCAAACAAACAAAATGTGCAGACACACAAAATAAAAAAGATAATCTCAAGCAAAATAGCTGATTGCTAGCTGACACAACACAAACAACATTGCCTGCGGTTGTAAACACAGAAAAAATGTTGCTTAATATGTGTGGATGCTACTTTTTTCCCAGGAGTTCGGACTAAACCACTAAACAATCTTGTTGAAAATGCAACTCTAATGCAGCGCTAGCAAACAGAATTCTCACACACACACACACACACACACTAACAAACCATCTAAAGGGTTTAGTTCATCAGGTACTGAGGTTCCGTTTTCTCTCCATAGAATGTGTGCTTCATCTTCCCTCAGTTTCTCTATCAGTTCTTCTGTGGCTTCTCTCAGCAGGTAAACGCATTCCTTTTTTTTAAACATCTCAAAGGTCCATCACTATTAGAATACATTTCAAATAGATGTTTAAAATGACACCTGGAACATGAAAGTGCATGTAGTTAAGAGAAAACACAGTTTCTCTTCTGTGCATACACTGAACTTAACGGTTGATTTACAGCAACAATAGCAAACTGGTTTAATTGTTTTTGTCCCTCTGCAGCCACTGTATGACACAGCATATCTGACCCTGTACAATATCAGCTTCACCTCATTACCCATCCTCCTCTACAGTCTGATGGAGCAGCACATCAACATGGACATCCTCAAACGGGACCCTTCTCTCTACAGGTGAGGAACGTTTGGGTTTCTCTAACATCCCCCTTATCTACATCTATGTTCTGAATGTCATGCAATAATTATACTTTAAACTTAGAGCATAGGTTTAAACAATGAGAACAATTCACCCAAAATGGAAAACCCATATGGAGTTAGGTTTGAGTTTAAGTTGTTTTATTGGCTGATACGTGACGTGTGGTACATGTCATCACATGTACAGGGGAGGTATTTTGCAGAGACACGTTTACTATCTGTTCACGATAGGGGTTGCACCAACTAATCGACTTCAATGGTCTGCCTTGACGCTTTAAGTTTGACGTCGACTAGTCGCTGGTCCTATAGAGGGCGCAACAGGATAAGAAATCTTTGAAGGACTTCCACATTTACGCTCCGTTTCCAAACAGTTCAAATGACAAATAAATGCATACTCTGAAAGCGCTCCACAAGATATGTTTGATTATATTACTGGATGCTTGAAATTGAACGGGAGAACGCACGTTTTAAACAGCTTATTGTACAGGTACGTTAATCGCCGTTCATGTCATGCAATAATTATACTTTAAACTTAAAGCATAGGTTTAAACAATGAGAACAATTCACCCAAAATGGAAAACCAGTATGGAGTTAGGTTTGAGTTGAAGTTGTTTTATTGGCTGATACGTGACGTGTGGTACGTGTCAGCACGTTTACTATCTGTTCACGATTCTATTTCTGGGTCCCTCTGTGAGACCTACTGATAAATCCCTGTCTAAACACTGGCTATTTATACTCACCTTGGCCTCCTTTTTGCATGACTGTTGGTTCGCTGAGACTGAAAACACTAATTATTTCTTATCCTGAGTTTTGCTGTCCCTGAGACAAACTTCATTGCATATTCATAAAGCTCTTTTGAAATAGTTAAGTGATAGTTTTTTATATATTTTTTTGCTTTTCCCACTTGCACCAGTAGTCAAGAATTATTTTTATTTTTAGAAAAATATATTTTTATGTGTCATAAAACATCTATGTAGAATCATAATTATCACATTTTTCATGTGTGTATATATTATTTAATACTGTATGCTAATTCAATTAAAATTAAAATTAAAATAATCTGTATTTTTGAAAACTTTTATTTTCCTTGCATCGTTTTTGTATCTAATGAACCGCCTGATGTAGCCCAATCTCACTCTCTAAATTTTCCCCTTTATTAAAATGCCTTTTCTGATTGTGAGCCTCCAGGTTTTTTCACTTAATCACACGAACACGCTGTTTCCAAATATGAGTCTGCTATAATTGGACAGTTCCATCAGCCTTTGGCAAACATATCCGCACAGACCCTTGCACTAAACTCAATTTACACACTACACTGGGCAGAAATACTGTTAGAACTGCTCTACATTTTTTCACCAAATGTCCTGACACTGCATTTTTCCCCCTCTTATTCCTCTGCATTGCTTGTTCAATATATACAGTGTTCATTACTGACACACAGTGTGGCACTTGTAGCTATCAAGGACTTTTCTATGTTTTTAAAGTAAGAATGGACACAAGCAGTAGAAATGATGCTTATTTTTTTCTGACCCTAATTTCACTTTCATTTGAAATGATCCATCCAATCTCAAGTGCAGTTTGAGACTAAACTGTTGTTTCATAGAGCGCTCATAAATAACCATATAATCTTACATTGAAATGTTTGACTGCTCCATTGCTTTTCAATTTAGTATCAGTTGCACTTCATTTGGTATAAATTTATACAAACAAGACTAGAAAAGACTGCAAAATGAACAGATAGCAAAGCTCAGATAATTTGATCTATGAGTTGGAGTTCTGGAAACATTCTTAAGATCTCTTGCGGTACTCTAAATGTGGCGTGTGAGATTATTAGGGTAGTTTTCTCAAATGAAAATGTAAAAAAAAAGCAAAAACTTAAAATGGTGAAAATCTCATTTATTTCTGTTTGACACAATGAGATTAAATGGATAACCAATGGAAATTTTACATTTATTCATTTTTACTATAGGTTTAATTTATTTTTTATTTCAGTTTGAGTTTTTATTCATTTTCATTTTGTAATTTTAATGTTTCAACTTAAACTTTAGTTATTTTCCAAGGCAACATTTCTAATTAAATGTATCTAATATTTATTTTTAATAGTTTTAGTTATTTTAGTTATTAATAACCTTACACATGATTTTGAAATTCGTTGCTTATGATGTATTACATGCACTTAGCTGTGATTACAGTTAAGTTGATGTACATTTTTAAAGGACTGTAAAGTGTAAAGTGTACAGTACAGTGCGGTTATGCAAACAATATACGGTGATATCAACCATTTTTTTATATATATTTTTTAATATCTTTATTTTTACAGAGATATTGCCAAGAATTCCTTCCTGAGATGGCCTACTTTCATCTACTGGACATTTCTGGGGGTTTTTGATGCCGTGGTCTTCTTCTTTGGTGCTTTCTTCCTTTTCGACAACACAACCTTCACCAGCAATGGACAGGTAATGCAGTCACTGTCTAAACCATGATTTCGTTTTCACATTTTTCTGTGTGTGTTTTGTTTCTTGAGTTCATTTTTTTCTCAGTCAAATAAAGCAGACGCATACAGATTGAATGGGTGGCCGATGCTTGTTGAGTGAGTTATTTTGTGGCTAAAGTGGTTTCAGTGCTTGTAATGTAGATATTTGTGGTTTAACTAAGGTCTTGATCCAGCTTGCAGACTTTTGTCTGTCCTCCTTTGCGTATGTTTGAAGTCATTACAGGTGCTTCTCCATTCATTTATGCGACACAAAGCATGCTGGGTAATCAGTCAGACCAGACATCTTTCTCTGTGCCATTAAGTTAAATCATAGTAACCTTTTTGGATTGCTTTTTTACCTGTTTGATTTACTTTAAGTTATAACATCCTAATTTTTTCTTTACTTTCTTGCTCCCTGTCCCCTCCCTCTCCTTCTTTTCTTTCGTTTTCCTCTCTTTCTCTCTTTCTCTATGTCTCCCTCTCTCTTTTCCTCCTTTTACCTACTCCCTTTTTGCCTTTCTTTTCTTTTCTGCTTCTCTTCCTTTCCTCAGCTAATGGCCACCAACACACAGATGGTAAGCCTGTCCCTATCTGTTTCTCATCCTATTTTTAGTTTTAGTTTTACTGTTACCCTCCTCAGCCCCTCCCCTCACCCTAAAGCCACTCCCACTCACATAGTGTCTACTAACACTAACCGTTCACTGCCATCGTGGCTCTCAAACAGTACCGTACGACATCCCAGTGTCCCCTGTACTGAGGCCCAGCCACTGTAGGTATAGAATAGCAAGTCCCCCGTTCATCTTCCTCTGTCTATCATCTTGTGATCGAGTAGGAGTTTGTGTCCGTCCCGTGTGTCACGTTGCGACTGTGTTTTTTGCAATCCCCAGAGTTGGAGGGGTGTTGTCATCCTCATCCTCATCGGCCCGTAGGATACACATCCATCCTCTTATGACTCACTGCAAGGGCAAATGAATGAACAAGAGGACTAAACATTTCACTTTGTTTGGTACAGTACATGTTGAATTGAAGAGAATCTATTTTAGAAACTTTTAATTTCAAAGAGAAGCTGGAGGCCTTTTCCACAAATAGGGTATACTTTAGTGACTCATTAACATAGGTACATTTATTGCATTGCATAGGGTCTCTCTTTCTTCTTGTAATATATTATATATACAAATAATATATTTAATTTAATAATTGAATAATATCTTTTTTGCAATTTAGAAAAAAGAAAGTAATATTTTTAAATGTTCTAATAAAATTATTGTTGCTATTGTTATTTTATTATTATACATTTTGTCTATTTAGATTTAATATTTATTTATTTCTAGAAAAAGCTAAATCACACAAATCCGTTTTAAACGTCACTTTTGGTTACAGGGATGTAAACATTGCTAACCTTGTATAAAATGAACAGAAAATAAAATAGCCATATATTAATATAGTATTTTGTTTGAGCCCCTGTTATTGGAGATTAACGTGTTTAAGCACCTCTTTCACTGACCATTTGTTGAATAAGAGGAAATAAATAAAAACTTTAGGCACTGTTTTTCCCTGTTTGTGGAAAGTGGCAGAAACTCGAACATTAACAGATTAATTATTATCTGATTAAACATAAAATTGCAAAACTGTGCACTTGACCATGACATTTTTTTCAACTGAAATATCAGATTTATCATTTTGAAAAATGTTTGAACTTCTGTAAATATCATTTGCCCTTGACATGTTTTTTAACAGTAAATTTAATTTAGATTGCTCATTAAGGTAAGTTAATGCATTTTCCTCAAACTTGTTGACATTTATTGTGTGTCCTTGTTTTTTAAACTGGTAACTCATCAACATTATATTGTTCACTATGTTCACTAAAACCATTTAGTGCCATACAGTTTGACCTGCTCGTGTTTTGCTGTGGCTTGTTGACTTTGATTGTGATTTGTTTTTTTAAAGGTAAACATGCAGTGATTTTATAAAGAACTCTCTTTATATCGTTGATGTTGTTTTGCATAGTGCCATCAACAGTGTGGCCGGTCCACAGACAGGGGAAGGTTCTAGAAGAGAATCCATTGTCTCTAAATTCAGCCGTTTGCCAAGACTGTAAACAATGAGGGAGCAAATCCTCCCAAATATACAAACACAATCACACAGAGAAGCTTACAGCACCCAAGGTTTATTGGGCCAATCTGCAAAACTGAATCCATTATAACATTTTAAGGGACTATCTAAGCTCACTATTTATTGATGAGGCTTTTATGGACAAAATATAAAATGCATGTGACATCACCGAGCGCCAGACATCATTAATAATCTCTGTAAAACAAAGACATAAAAGTGCTTTCATTTACAGCACCATTAAAATAATGACAATTATTCACAAGAAATAGATTTTTAAAAGAACATTTGATGAGTGCCCTGTCCTTTGATTATATTTATATGCTTTTGTGAATGCTGCATTGATGCACAAGTTTAGATAAGTGCATCTGATACAAATACAGATACACCGTATGTTCATGTTTTTTTTTATCAAATTAAAACATAAAAGCATAAAACATTGTTTGTGTATATATATATACATATATATATATAATCTCATAAGTGTAATTATAATTTGAATATACTGTATATAACAATTATAATTAATTGTATTAATAATTTATTAGGTAAATTTCTTACATTAAATAGGGTCTATAATTTTTCTGCTGATAATATATTATATGTACAAATAATATATGATATAAATTTCCACCTAAAAAAAATGAAATCTGGGAATTCTAAATTGTTATTTGTTTTTGTATATTGTATACATGATTCAGGTGAACGCTTTTACTCAATTATGTTGCATCTTTCGTTTGTGTTTTTTGTTTTTTCCTCCAGCTTCTAGTAATTTTTCTTATTCAGTTATTCTTATACATAATAGTTTGTGCATAATATTTATTGGACAGTTTTTTGTTAAACTTAGTGTTGTCTAAAAATGTCCATATCATGAGGAAATATTTTTGTTAATATATTCTTGCCAGATAATTCAAGTCTTTTTCTACCGAGTGCTACTGAATTGTTCAAATAATGGCACATAAGCTTTTAACATGCATAACTGCAATGTGTCCGGTTTGTAAGGCGATGAGAGGGTGAGCTGTGCACTAACACTCATTTGAGTGTCTATTTATGCATCAGTGCCAATCTCTTTTTGCCTTTTTCAATATTTCTCTGTTCCAGATGTTTGGAAACTGGACCTTTGGAACACTTGTATTCACTGTCCTGGTGTTCACGGTCACGCTAAAGGTAATACAACTGACACACACGTGTTATGATCTGTGCTGTTGCCAACTGGTATCAACTTAACCTGCTGTGTCTTCACATTTCTCACTGTGTCTACATGCTTTAGCTTGCCCTGGACACACATTACTGGACGTGGATCAACCACTTTGTCATATGGGGGTCACTGCTATTCTATGTCATCTTCTCCCTCCTGTGGGGAGGCATCGTTTGGTACGGCCTGTCCTGTTATACACTTAATATCACTAAATCAAATTCATTTGAATCTAACATGATATCTCTGGTGTATTTTTGTTCTTTGTAGGCCTTTCCTGAACTATCAGAGGATGTACTATGTGTTCATGCAGATGTTGTCCAGCGGTCCTGCATGGCTCAGTATAATTTTGCTGATTATAGTCAGTTTGCTGCCTGATGTGGTGAAGAAAGTGTTGTGTAGAGCTCTATGGCCCACCACCACTGAGAGAATACAGGTACGACAGCACAACTCTCACTATCTGCATTTTCATAGAGATGAAAAGACACAGTTAGCTCACGTCAAACATGTATAAATGTGTCTATATTTCAGTAATAGACAGCTATTTAAAAGAAATAATATTATATACATTGACTATTAGTTTGGGTAGATGACATGTTTCATTTGATGCAATTGAAAGCAAAGCTGTGAGGGATAGAAATATTTTGTGTGTGTGTGTATTGTTTAAAGCTGTAGGTCATGTGTAATTTTAATAACCTATGTTTTCAGGAAATTTTGTAGCTTTTTTTCATATTATATATTTGTAGCATTTCTGCAGCTGAAGTGTATTGAACTGACTGCACTGACTACAGCTTCGTTTTAATTGGCATCAACTTCTGAATCAACCAAAAATGTTGTCTAATCCAACTAAGATTGATTCCTTTTGCAAGATTACAGCTATTTAAAAGAAATATTTGTGTTATTTTCAACTAAATAATTGTTGATCTGAAGCAGCTTAATGGTGCTATAGTTTGTGATAATTGCTACTAACTGGTCTTCAGATTTACACTTGCGTCGGACTGGTTCCCAGTGTGCTTGATGTAAGTGGATTATGGATGCAGTTCACGATTCTCTTTATCTGTCGATTTTTCTTTGCGTTGGATGACTCTTTGAGCCATTCAGTGGTTTTATTTGACCTGTTGACTCTTTGTCAAACAATATATGACACAATGAATACTGTGTATTTTACTGTGTGCACACATAGTATGTTACCATACTATGCTAAGAAAAATTTCAGAAGGAAATTTAATGTGTGCGCGTGTGTAAACTGCCTTACCACTGGTTTAACCCGTGTGATGCTTTGCCTCTCACTCATCTTCCCTATTAAACTCTAGAATGTCAATGTTATGAAATTAAATGTCATGTCAGTGTATAAAAAATGTACAGCATTTATCAGTCTTGGTCAATGTAAATCTATACTGAACATATACAGTATATTTAAAAATTTTTTTATTATATTAAGTTGTATTATGAATGACCATTAATTAATAATAAATTGTTAATTTATAAATTATCATTAAATTAGATTAATAAATGCAGTAAAAACTCCTCATTGTTAGATTATGATACCTAATGAATGAGTGTTATTGACAGTTATTTTAGTTTTATTTAGATACTGTTATAGTATTTATGATTAGCTTTTCTGTTTACATTTTATTTTAGTTTAAGTTTTAGTCATTTTGTTTTGTGCATTTGTCATTTTTATTAGTTTTTATATTTAACTTTATTTTTATTTGAGTTTTAGTTTTAGTCATTTTAGTACTTCAACAAAACTTATCAGTAAGGCAAAATTTCTCATTTTTGGGCAAGTTTTTAATCTACTGTTTATATTTTAATTTCAGCTTTATTTCAATTAACAAAAACTATTTTTAACAGTTATGTTTTAGTTAACAATAACAAAACAGGATAACCTGGGGCCTGTACCATGAAGCCAGATTAGCTGGCTAGCCAGGTAAGTTTCAGTTTAGTTGCACCAATCCTGGGTTTTAGGTACAATGAAAGTGGCTTGGCTTTTAGCAGCATTCATTGCCTTACACTCCACAGCTAACCTGCTCTGGGGCAGGTTATGTTCTGGTTTAGAGATTTCAAAGTTAAATTTGACCAATCAGCTTCAAGCAAAGTGACACATGTCTGACGCAATAAAGCCACTCCCCCAGTTTCTCTTACTCCAAATTAAAGGACGCTACATAGTAAAAAAATTTTAAAGATAAAATTGTCTGAATTTAGAGATGATTATTTTTTATAATTATTTTATATGATTTATATAATTATTATACCCTTAATCCATTACACAAGCTAGCTTAGTTTAATAGTAATTATTAAGCTTTTATTTTAAATTAATATAAACATATAGATAATATGCAATATAAATACGTTTTAGAATCAGCTTAGATTTTTAAGTGTTTTTATACCTATAAATATTATCAACTCTATTAACTCACTTTACACATTTTACTTGCACTTATAAGGCAAGATGTTTTCTTTAAGTTTTCCTCTTTCATGGATAGATTGTTTCATCTTGTAAATGTGTTTAAATTCTTCATATTGTTCATTATTTTAATCTTTGGTAGTGAATCGCACTGACTCTCAGGAAGTGCATCACAGTTTCAAGGCATCTGATTGGCTGTTCATTACTGATGTCACTCTTTCATGTGCACGTGCTCCATTAACTCAGGATCAAGCCTGAGTTGACAGAGAAAGTTGATGATGAGCTTTATGGTACCAACAAAGCCGAATTGGACTGGTTTGGTTTTGTCAACTCAAAACTAATCCTGTAACCCCGAGTTTGTTCAGCCACCATCATGGTACAGGCCCCTGGTAACCAAATTGAACCTTATTGTAAAGTTTTACTAATAATTCTGCTAGAAAATAACCTTAAATATGCTAAATCAACACTTAACACTTGCACTTTCAGAAACTTTGAATGCTTTGAAAGCTGCTGAAGTTCCTTTATTAATCTCTGAGGATTAGACAGGTTGTCAACCTTTCTAAACCCTTTGTTTTTTATTCCTCATCCATCTCTCTTTTTCTCTCCTGATGCTCTACCTCTCTGATGCTTGACCTTCCCCTTCCCCTGTGTGTTTAACCCTTGACCTGTGGTAACGGCAGACAAAGCGGCAGTGTCTCACTGCTGAGCAGTCCACCATCTTTATGCTCTCCCAGACCTCCAGCAGTGTCAGTTTCTGAACTGAGCAGGAGGTGAACCTACACACTCTCTCTGCATGTGCGTGTGTGTATCAGTGAGCGAAGACACAACAGGGTCATGACCTACTTAACATTAATGAGGCTCACAAGCTACCCAACATGCCAATAACATGCGTTGCAGTACCCTGTGGTGTCTCTCTTTATGTTCGAAGTCTTTTATTGCATCACTCTACATGTTTGCATGCATGAAGTGTGCATGTATAGTATGTACATGTGTATTTTATGTTGCTGATATAAAGTTGTTTAATGCATTTTCTGCTGCTGTACTTTCAGTTTCAGCAAAATACTTCAAAATCAAGACAGATTCTAGAAAATATTGTGCACATGGGTCTGTTATGCCACATTTGAGTTTGTTTGTGTGTATGATATTTCACAGAGAATGATGGCTGACAGGATCTTTGAAAGGGTTGAGACAAACATTCATGATTCACTGCTAGATGGCGTTCAGAACACCACTGAGGCCTAGCAGCTCTATGGTAAACAGAATGCGAAGTTGAAGACTAAAACCTGGCTCACACTACAGGAGTTTTAAAATCCTAACCGATTATGAAATCTGGTTGCAGCACACACATAAGGAGAATCTTTGCAGATTATCTTGCCTCAAATCTTAAACATGCACACACTACAAGATTTTAACATGGCGCATCACAGACTACAAGATATTATTAAGATTATCATGCCAGAGGGAGTGCCTCACGTGATCTCACGCAGCAGATCATCAATGATATTTCAGTGATGTTTACATATGTTAGCTAGTGTGCTAGCTGCTTTCTACACTCACCCGGTACATTCAAAACTGAGGCGATTTCACTCCAGTTCTTCTCTTTCTCCTTACAGTTGTGATACGTTTTCAACACATTATACAGACAGTCGTGTTACTATAAAACGTCAAGAAGCAGTTTCCTCCGTCTCCACTATCCAACGGGGCCGTACAGCAGCTGTTTTGCGGTCGCACATTGGCTATTGTGAAAGTACTGACGTAATCATATAGCCGTCATCATCCCGATTTAAATCCTAAATATCAAACATGTTTGATATGATCGGGGCGGCCCCGATTTGTGTGCGAGCAGATCGGGAGGTGCAAGATTAGATCGGTGAATGCCTCACATTACCAGATAATCCGTGCTGAACATCGGGACCGATTGAGGGGCTCGACAAGATTTTTGTTCCGATTCTCGGGAGGGGGAAATCGTGGCTAAATCGGGCTAAAAATCCTATAGTGTGAGCCAGGCTTAAAGCCAGAAAGAACTAATCCACACTGAACTCAAGTGGAGCTCTAGAGTTCTCAGATGACGCGTGCAGTTCTAGAATCAATCTGAGAATTCCAGAATCCTGCTAATTGGCTCTTTCCAGTGAAAGCAAACTGGATTGAAATGCCTTTGGTGCACCTGTGTGGGTCTGTTGTTTGGTGTGAAACCTACAGACTGGTTTGGTTTGGATTTAAAGCTTCAGAATGAATGTATTGGGTTGTGGTTTGGGGTGTGCAGTATATGCAGCAAACAGGACATGTGGACTATGGGTTCTTCTGACACATACACAAATACACACAGCAGGCTTGACATACAGTTTAACATCTTAACACTCTGGCATGCATAGATATTTTTTCTTTACTTGAATCTTTCTTTCATATTGTGTCTAAATCAGTGAAAATATTGTCAAATATTTCTAAATGTCCACCTTTTAATGTCCATTCCTAGAACATGCTTATGATCGGTAAATTTATGAAGAAATTGTCCTGATGATGTTTCACCGCAAATTCAGAAGACAAAAACAAGAAATTATATTTATATTTTGCTTAAAGAATATTAAGTTTTTAGAATAATTTAGCCCCCCCCCCTTATTATTTTGCCCCCCCAAAAAAACGTCATAATGAAAGTTTATATATATTTATATATATACAATCATTGAAAATTCAGCTTTGCATCACAGGAATATATAAATAACAGGAAAATATATTAAAATAGAGAACAGTTCTTTTAAATTGTAATAATACTTCACAATGTTATGGTTTTTACTGTATTTTATCAAACAAATGTGAACCTTGCAAAACATAAAAGACTTCAATCAGAAACATTAAAAATCTTACCGACCCCAAACTTTTATTATAAAAATATAACTTTTTTTTTCGTTCTTTTTTTTTTTGGTGAATGCCCTTTCACCCTCCAATGAAGAAAAAAACTCTTAATTTCTCACTAGCCTTAGCTAAATTTCTCTCCGCAGTTTATCCTGTAACAGCCTCTCAATCGATCAGTTTAACATCTTCTGGGACTGAGCTTGTGCATGTGGTTAATATTGGATTTGTGATTTTTTTAATGTAATATTTTGTTCTTTTTTGCATTGCTTCTTGCTGGGGCTTTGGATTTGTGTTGTTTCAGCTTGTGACGTGACTAATGCTTGCATTTACATGCCTGTATATGATGCAATCTGCTAATTCACTCTTTCTGTTCCCTTGTTCTTTACTCCAGAATGCCGATAAGTTGTATAAGGGCCACCTGTCCGAGTTCACCCCCCTGTCCTCCCTCCATGCTCCACCTGCACGGAAACACGACAGACATGGCAACGAAAGCCAGAACCACACCCTCCACAGGTCTGACTCCTCCCCTCCCAAAAAACTGATGTGTACATACTGGGGGGGCAGGCCTGACTACTGCACCTTCAGCTCCTTCCTCCGAATAAGAGAAAACCCAAGATTCTCTGGGGCAGCTTACACCTACAGCGCACCGGGGCCCGAGACGTCCGTATGACAGTCTCTCTAAAAGAAATAGTCTACTTATCTAATCAAATTCAGCCTCAATTATTCAAGAGTCAAGATTGGGACACTATTTGGAGACCAATCTTGGCTTGTTACCCTTTTATCTAAAACAAAAGCACTGAAATGCGTTCTTGTGGTATACGCTAATGGGCTAGTGTTGCTGTGTGTTAATTTAGAAGCTGGAGGAAGGCCAAACAGAATTGGCCGTACCATCTGCGAGTGTGGCATACTGCGCTAAGCGGCCTTGGGACCTATTTACCTTGTTTTCTTTGTGTGAGCGTGTTCCCTTTACACTGTGGGTTTACATGTTCGTTCACCTACCCTTGTAATTCTTCATGTGAAAAATTACTTGAAAACTACACTATGCAGTAGTTGCACAAACCTTTCCATCTCAAACGCAACCCCTACAGCTAAATGTTAATGTGGATGACAGTTCAAATGGCCTTGGATGCTCTAAAAACTGACCGTCCTGTTTTTTTCTTCTTCTTTTCTTTGTTCTCTGTCGTCTCCCCTTCCCTTTTTTATTTGTCCTGTGCTCCTTCTCTTTTCTTCTACTTTTTTTATAGAACAAACTGGTGTTGCCTTTGTGCAAACCTGTTATCGAGGAACACTCCATAGCCTGCGATTGTCTTTGTCCGATTGCATTGTAAGTGGCTAAATTTGGCCATTTCTGTTGCTGCACTGTACTAGAACGAACTAGGTGTGTATGTGCACGATTGTGTGCGTGTGTGTGTGTGTATGTGTGTGTGTGTGTGTGTGTGTGTGAGAACGTAGGCCTTTGTTAGAACAACTACGAGAAGACAAATTGTAACTGGACTGTCATTATGTTTCACCCTTTAACTTTCAAAAAGGTGGAAATCAACTCATGTTCTACTGTTCCAAAGTTTGCAAAACCATTGACTTGTGTCATCATGACAACCAGTTACTCTTTCCAAGCTGCTTGGCAATTTGCTTTAAAACTCTGTAGTTCCCTATGTATAATCAGTCCTTTAGTTTCTTTAGAATAGATCCAGATACAGGATGCTAAAGGCTACACTAGCCACCTTAGCTTAACTGTTCTGCCTTAATGCTAACGTTTCCCATCTTTTACACCACAGTTTGGAACCAAAGGTCTAGAAATACGGAGTATATAAATGTGCATTAGTTGCCTTATGCTCAAAAGGAAATGGAGGGAAAGTGTTTGACGGCATTAGAAGAATCCTACCACACTGCCTTAAGTTGACATTGCACCAGCTGAGGATGGAGACCGATAAAAGTAGTATTCGACATCTTCCAATGCCACTAACATGGCCCAGGGCTCCTAAAGACAAATTTCATAGTTCTGTTGGTGTAAACATCTTTTTGCGTTCACAAAAAGTAGAAATTAACTTCTTCGTCAGCATATTTTCATGATTGTAGCGTCCTATTTGACTGTTCCCAAAGCATTTTGTCTGTATGAATGTAACTTTTGGAGCCCTGTGCTGGGTTGCTATCATTTCTTTGTTGCACATTACTAATTTATGATCTGATATAAATAAGTCGGATATAATTAGACTGTGATACTGTTCACAAACAACTCATTAAACCAACAGCCCAATCAAGGTCAGCATCACAGATGGCCTGTCTTGGGCACTATGTTCACAGAAATGGCTCCTTTCTAGTGTGCAGAACACAGAAGATGAGCTTTTTTAAATGATTCCCGGGAAATGTGCCTCACACCTGATGACTTATCTGTTTAAAATGACTTTTTCATCACGTATTGTGAAGTGTGTTCAATCCCATCTCCGTCCTGTCAATGAATTCAAAATCACATTGATTTGAATTGAGTGTGAATACAATTCAGTTTAATTTCCAAATAACACTGTAACAAATTGAACACCTGATGACTTACCTGTTTAATATATCATTCTCATAATAATATTGTGAAGTACATTCAATTCCATCTCCGTCCCATGAATTAATTCAAATTCACATTGATTTGAATTGAGTGTGAATGCATTTAAGTTTAAATTCCAGGTAACACTGTCACACAAATGGATATGGATCTAAACCAAACTAAAAATCAGACCATTTGATCATCAAAACCACATCTGTTTGTCTGCATGACTCTTTCCCTGCTGTCCTTCACATTCCATGCCTGTTTGTTTTTTTCTGCTCACATTGATTTTGGAATGTAGTGTTGCTTTCCTGGAGCTTTATCTTTTCATCTCGACTTCTCTCCTCGCATGTGTTTCCTTCGCTCACCTGTCATTCAGTTCTCATGATGAGGCCAATCACCCATTTCACCATTTTAACCATCCATCATCCATGACAGAGAGAGAACGTAGGTGATGTCAAAGACTATCAAGACCACTGTTTTGATGGTTACTCCAAGCTTCTTGTGGGTAGATGCCTTCTGGTGCTTTTTAACCTCAATGTATGTTCATGCGTTCAATTCAGTCAAGTGTTGAATTCTGGGAAACTCCAGTGTGCACATACATGTGTTTTCATTGCCCCGTCAGTCAGCCTGCAACAGAGAATGTCAGATTAAAGAATGGCATTATGGGTATAGCTAGTTTGTTAAAGGATGGAAGAGTCATTTTTGAACAATTTTTTGGGTTAATGTTGATTAACTGTCACAGAATAGTAAAAACAGAATGTCCTTTTTCATGCACACATTATATCTAAATATAGACTATATTGATGAGTATATTGATGTCAAGGTTTACAAAGGCTGAGTGAATGAATGAATGACTGAATGAATGAATGACAAAATAATCGAACATGTCGAACTGAGTAACTATGTTTCTGGTCCAAAAGTGTATTATTTAATTTGTATGAATGTAAAATCTAAAGTCAAACACTGTCTATTTTATTAATTATTGAGGTCTGAACTTTGCATGCCGTGTGATGCCGTAGTAATGGACCAACCACTGAGCTTTATCAAGTCATATTCTCATTCATATAAACCACTTTTATAACTTTCGTTCAAATTTTCAGTCCAGTCCAGATGATTCACATCTACGATACCAAGTACTAATCATTGCTGGCAAATCTGAAAAAAAAACAAGAATGTGCTTATACATAGATTCTCAAGTCATGGTTTTTAAGTAGCATAGATTAATATAATAGGGGTAAACTAATTCATTTCATGTTTTTTTACTGTTATTTTTATTTTGCATTCTACTGTTTTTACTATTTTGTTCACTATTACAGTTCTGTCTGGCTTCCTGAATGTAAAAAAAAAAAAAGAAAAAGAAAAAAACCACTATTGTGCTGTAAACAAAAATTGCATATCGTTAATTGGATAGCCGTGAATGACAACTACAAACTACCATCAATACTGTTTTTTGTAATGTAGGAATAATTTGATCACTGAACGCTATCTGCCTCAGGGGTGCGTTCAGGCACTGGCAAACACTGTATTCTGTCTGTCTAAAAAAGGCTATATGAAATAGGTATTTTGTATAATGTGTGAAAAAAAGTCTTTTTGCTACTTTTGTATCTAGAGGATGACGAGAACTACTTACCGTTACAGAGTCAGAATGTTACTGTTCAGTTTTAAAACAACCAAATGTAAGGTCATGGGAGAAGTCAACTTCAGTAAAGATGAAAGTTAAAAAAATAGCTTTAACAGTCTGTTTTTTTTTGTTTGATGATTTGAAATATGTTTGAGGTGATGATATGCATGGTCATTGCTCACACTGACTGTAGGAAATACACTCACTGTTTTTAAAGCAGGTGTGACCAAATATTTGATTAGATGTCTACTGCTATAACTGAAGGCTTTATTGCCTGTAGTGGGGCTTCATCTGTGCCAGCCTATTCAGATTAACTAAATATCTATAGCTTGTTTTGTTTGTTTTTGTTTTATCTGCACAAAGTGTGATGTTGCTCATAAATGTATTATATATACAGTATATATGTATACTACTGTACACTTTGCAGCATATATGTAGTAATATTCATGTACAGTTTGGGCTCCTTTTGTATAAAGTTTTTAAAAGATTGATATCTGTAGATATGTGGATTTTTGCCAGTTTTTTCTGTAGCTATTAACAGCAAGAAAAAGTACATATGCTTGTAATAAAGAAAGAGATTTAAATGTTTGAAAGCCTTGGGCCTCTTCTCTTTCCCAATGGCAGAAGTGATTGTTAGAAGTCAATGAAATATCACAGCAACTAGTTTTGTATGTCACATTAAGAGGCAAATTTTTCTGGTGCTAGTGTGTTTGACTCAGCTCACCATATGGAGCTAATAACGAAGAAAACCCAGTGGCACAACATGTGTAGTTGTACAATATGACCTCAAGGTGGCAGCAAATTGTAACACATTGAGGCTGCTTCACCTCTACTACACTAAATATAACCAGGTCATCGCTGAAATCTAAGAATTATATATATATCTTTTTTTTTAATATTATGTGACAACAATTTACCTAGACAAACAGACAATAAGGACTGAAATAAAGGTTATTATTAGGACAGTAGGAAAATTTATTTTGGTGATATATGCTTCCACGTCATAAATATTTAATCTTTCACATTTAAAAAAAAAAAAAAATTCGTTAGAATAAATCCAAGAGATTTTATTCAAATCAAATAATAAAAACCATTATATTCATTCATAAATTTTGACATAGGGAGATTATTTTGAAAAATCGTTATAACCTCACATACCTCATAGTAAAGTGTGTAGGATGCAATGACTTAATTGTGGATTTGGATAAATATATAAGTGTATCTTTACAGGATTTGGAGTACCCAATACCTCCTTTAAATGGATAGTTCACCCAAAAATGAAACTTCTGTCATTAATTACTCAACCTCAGGTCTTTTCAAACATATAAGACCTTTGCTCATCTTCAGAACACAAATTAAGATATTTCTGATGAAATCCGTGAGCTTTCTGGACCCTGCATAGACAGCAATGCAACTGAAACGTTCCCAGGCCTAGAAAGGTAGGAAGGACATCGTTAAAATAGTCCATGTGACATCACTGGTTCAACCGTAATAGCTACGAAGCTACGAGAATACTTTTTATTCAACAATGACTTTATTCAACAATTTCTTCTCTTGTGAGAGAAAATGTGATACTGCTTAAGTGTGACTGAAAACCAGGTTATAATAATAATGTAATCATATATCATGCTCAACACTCAACAGGTAAGTGTCAAAATATCATAACTGACCATTTCAATAAATTCACATGAATCAGGATAAATAAAGACTGTGGCCCACAGACACTGCTGGAGGTGTCTTGAAGTTGTAATCCTCGGACTAAGTCTTTATTTAAAATGTTTCATGGAGTGTACGTTTATGTGTTCTTAGATGTGTGTAAATGTGTGTGTGTGTGTGTGTGTGGCCATGCTCATGGACTTGTGAAATCGCTCTATTAGATCGAAATTGCTGTTATTTGCTAAGATTATTTATGAGTCATTTAACTTTTTGCGCTCTCTCTGGCAGTGCTAGATGGTTTGGTTCATTATTGATTTAAAATGTCTTTCAACGGTGCAGAACACACCGAAGTGCTGCTGAAGACCTCTTACTGGATTTGAGTTGGAATGTGATGACACTTCTGTTTGATTTGTGTGGGGACCACTGTGGCTCCTGGAAGGGAATTTTGGTAAATGTCGTTTACAATTTGCAAAACCTTTCATCCATTTTATTGGTGAATGGATTTTAAACAAAGCTCTTTCTCAGCTGATTTACAATTCCCCTTCTGTGGATAACACCACCCTCATATAATCTATGTATATAGCATGGTACAGAATAAGGCCATTGGTTAAGAATGCTTTGAATGCAAAGAAAGTCAAGGACGGTGAAAGTATTCTTCCTATCTATTTAAAAATGCCAGGTTACATGCAGCAGGCCCATTCCACTCGCCCCATGCATCTTCACCTCTACATTTCTGTGGCAGAAAGCATGTCAAACGACAGTGAAGATTATGACCTTGCCGTCACAGTGGTAACCTCACAGTTGCCTCCAGCACTGACCTTGAGCAATAAATGCGACAGAGAGCAAAGCGAAGGAGCGAGAAAAAATGAGAGAAAGGGCAAGTGAGTCATCAAACTGTCCCCTCTTAACCTCTTATTATAAAAGAACAAATTGCTCTGAAATTTCATTTCAGTTCCTAGATTTCTCGTTAGTTTTGAAGTGCGCTGCTGGAGATGCTGAACAAGCTCACTGATACTTGTTATACTCTTAAAGCAGACAAGATAAATCATGGCATGAACCAAAACGCTGCAATCTATAGAAAGTTCATAATGCTGAAGGTGCTATAAATGATTTTATTATTATTATTATTATTATTATTATTATATTGCACATAAACAAATCCACTGCTGGCCTACATCTAAATTTCATATTTTAAACCAGTCTGTCATTCCGGAGACAATCATTGAATACAGCAGTTAAAATTGGACTTGGTCATCTAAAGAACTGTAAAATAAATGAACAGGCAATATTTATTTATGCAAAGGTTTTTTTTGTTTGTTTTGTTTTTAAACCAGAGGTCAGTTTATCACCTTTAAACTGCTTTATCAAAGACCTTATTTTGTCCACATTGAATACATCTTCACTTGGTGTGTCTCTAAAGAGTCCTCTGAAGAAAGACATGCATGCATTGCAATAAATTATATTAGAGGATAACAGACATCACTTTCAAAAGCAAGGATGGATCAAGTTGAAAGCCACTATTTGCATAAGCAGACTTTAGAAGATTGAATATCAGAAGAGGAATATGCTTTATTATACTGATCAAGGGTCAGAACACGCAGGTGTTTTTAAAGACCAATATAGAAAATGAAATTCAGCTGGAGGAATATTTTTTTAAAAAAAGTATCTGTGCTGAAACAGGTTGTTCTCGATCTTTTAATTGACACAGACACTGTATGATAGGCTATTTTCAAATTATGATCGAATGTTTATTCTTTCAAAGTCCTAATAAAATAGATTTATTTTTGACAGATGGTCTTATTTAAAGCTACTGGTTTTGTCAATAACAGTCTGTGTTGACAGTGTTCTCAATATATATGCACCTGTGAGAGACATAAGCTTACATGAGCTACAGTCTGCATTGTATAACGCATAATTACCTGTTATTGATCTATAAAACGATTGAACTAACAGCCGGTTTCTCTTTCAGTCAAAACGTTTTCAAGCATTGCCAGTGGAGGACGCTCTGCTCCTGACAACCACTCCAGCCTGAGAAACATGTAATGTGCTAGAAATGAACAGAAAGACAAGAAACCTTTGTTTGTTGTGATTTTAAAATGACTATTTTACAAAGAAAAGAAATGCTGATTGTTCACAATATAGCTTGACACTATTATAATGCAAGCACACAGGGACAGGCTGTTATAATGGTGTTATAATTGCAGATAATGAAATTCAATTAATTTATTTCCAAAGTAATCTGGGATTTATCTCTTTTTTTTAAAATCATTTATCGTCCAACCATCATCACGTTTGAGTGTTTCTGAATTATGCAGACTTATCCATGATAACAGATGATGGTGGACACATTTACAGTAGGCTAACAATAATTAAACATATAATTAAATACAAAATCTTCCTGTAATTTTATCCTTCAAGTCAGTTTGGTTCACCAAAATGAAGTGTCCTATTAGTGTTTGTTGTGAGCATATAAACCAGTCCAGTAATTACTGATAGAACTAAAGGGCTTCCGAAATGTTGCACCTTCGATTTTACGCATTTAAGCCTAATATGAGTGAAACAACGTCCAATTGAAATTCATTAATAACGATCATTCGTCGAAGTAATTAACATCCCCGATGATAAACACGGGAACAATACACTAATCAGCGACCGGACTGAGTTTGACTACCCACGGTGCTCCGCGTGGTCGGCGCGCAGCAGGCCTGCTGGGCCGTGTGTGGCTATGGAAACAGGACGAGCCTAATTAGACGGCGAAATCCTTCACCCGGCCGAGCGAGCGGAGCGAGGCTTTTGTGTGGTGTCGCTTTTCTTCCTGTCAGTCTTTCAGCACGGGGCTAGATTGGCGCTGGCCCCGGGGTTTGTGGGAACCGGGACAGCCCTTTCACGC